GAGGTGGGACTGCATCCCTTACTCCCTGTCCCCTCAGGTCCTTAGCTCAGCAGCCAAATAGTAACACCAGCTGCCCTCCCTCACCACCAAGGACAGGACAGGCAGTAAAATTTATAGCTCACCACAGGTATCCAACTAAGGCCAAGGCCAGGGGGCCACTGTCCAAGGTCACTCCACTAATAACTTGAACTTGGGCTTGTCTGGCTTGGAAATGCATCCTGGGTCCTGGAAGGGAGAGTAGGGGGTGCTGTCCCCTTGGCCCCAATGCCAAGTCTCCCCTAAGCATACGGCACCTCTGAAGAGCTGGTGACGGCACAGACCTTTTGAAGACCCCAATGCTGCCCCTTTTCCTGGGGGTGCACAGGCGTGTCTGGGCCCCTGTGGGAGTCTAGCCAGTGAGTGCCTCTGCAGTGGTCTCAGGAGGAGGACACCTGCCCTTATGGGACTTAGTCCAGGTAGAGACAGGGACCCCTTCATTTCCCAAATGTGCCAGGAGAACAGACACTGGGCCCTGGGCCACAGATGCCCAAGGGGAGGATGGACTGGACACTTCCCTGTCCTGAGGGAACCAGGCCCCTGGGGCTGTGTCACAGGGCTCTGCTGCCCCCCATCAGGCCTGCAGACTGGGGGCCACGCAGTCCTGGGCAGGGTGAGGAGGAGGCAGGACATGGCCCGGGAGGGGGACTTTCCCCTTTGGGTGCCTAGGGATGCCCATGGCTGCTGACTAGAGCCCGGTGAGGTTTGGAGTGATGGCCTTGGGCTCAGTGAGTCAGTGTGGCCAAGTTTACCAGCCGCCATCCCAGCCGTCCCCAGGGAGCAAGTGTCCTTTGAACCTCAAAGTCTGGCTGGGTTTTAGCCAGTTCATACATCTGCTCATTGACCCCATTGATTGATCTGCCTGGCCTCTGTCTCCTGGGTGTCCAGGGGCCCATCCACCTGCAGCTGTAACCACCAGTTCATCCACTAGAACATGGCCCCTCCTATCCATTCACCTACCTGCTCCATCCATCCATTCACCTACCTGCTCCATCCATCCATTCACCTACCTGCTCCATCCATCCATTCACCCGCCCTCTTGCCCATCCGTGGATCCGCTGCCTATATCCACCCAGTTACAGCCACTCCCGCCTCCATGCCACCCTCATCCATCCTCCCTCCACCTGCCCATCTGTGCATTCTTCCCCCTCATCTGTCTACCCAGCCATCCACACAGCCAGCCGGCCATCCATCCACCATGTCCACTCACCCTCTATCCATCCAGCATTCCTCTATCCACTGCCCACAAACATCCACACATCCACCATCTGTCCATCCATCCATCCACCCACCCATCCACGCATCCATCCACCATCCATCCACCCATATATACATCCACCCATACACCTACCCATCCATCCATCCACCCATCCATCCACCCATCCATCCATCCACCCATCCATCTACCCATCCATCCACCCATCTATCTATCCATCTACCCATCCACCCATCCATCAATCACCCATCCATCCATCCATCCATCCACCCATCCACCCACCATCCATCCACCCATCCATCCATCCATCCACCCACCCATCCACCATATATCCACACAGCCATCCATCCATCATCCACTCACCACCCATCCACCAATCCATCCACACAGCCAGCCAGCCAGCCATCCAACATCCACTCACCATCCATCCACCATCCATCCACCCATCCATCCATCCAACCACCCATCCATCCACACAGCCATCCATCCATCCACCATCCATCTACTATCCATCCACCCATCCATTCACCATCCATCCACCATCCATCTACCATCCATCCACCCATCCATTCACCATCCATCCACCCATCCACCATCCATCCACCCATCCACCCATCCATCCATCCATCCATCCACCATCCACCCACCCATCCACCATCCATCCATCCATCCATCCACCCATCTATCCATCCACCCACCATCCATCCACCATCCATCCATCCATCCATCCACCCATCTATCCATCCACCCACCATCCATCCACCCATCTATCCATCCACCCACCATCCATCCACCATCCATCCATCCATCCATCCATCCACCATCCATCCATCCACCCATCCACCATCCAGGTATCGGTCCACTCGTTTCCCTTTCCATCCTGTGATATACTTACATTGACCCACATCCGGCTGCTGCTGAGCCATGTGGCCCTGATGGCCTCGTCTTTCTCACATGCACACGCCTTGCCTACTCATTAGTAGGTCCTCCTGGAGGCCCTCCTTCAAGCTGAGCCTGCCTCCCAGGCATCCCACCTCCCAGCAGCTCCCTTCCCCAGCTGGGAGGCATCTGTTCTGAATCCCGGTTGGTGATAGTGAATCTGCCAGGGTTAACCCTGGCACTCCTGGCACAGCCTCTTAGGAGAAGGAAGGGGCACTGCAGAAGATAGGAGAAAAGAAAGGGGACATGCCCACCCCTGCGTCCTTCTCAGGGACACCAAGACCCTCCCTTTCTCCCATATTCCAGAGACACACTGAGTTGGATCCTTAGGTCAGGAGTGAAGCCAGGAACAGGAAGGTGGCTTACCTGGAGATAGACTTCTACCGGGAAACAGACTGGAATGAGAGATGGGGGGGGGGGCTCTTTCCAACCTCAGTTTACCCTTCTGTAAAATGGAGCAAGGCCTCCTGACACAGATTGCCACATGTGAGCTGGAGTAGACAAAGTACCTGGTGCATAGCAGGGAGATTCTCAGCCACAGGTGCAGGGGTGCAGGGGATAGGGTAAGTGCGGAGCAGGTAACAACCACGTCCATTAGGACTGCTTTCTCGGCCAGCTACCTGGGGCTTGCAACACTCCTGCAAATACTGACAGTGGCTCTGGTACTATGCCCATTTCATAGATGAGAAGCTTGAGATGCAGAGAGACCAGGTGCTCTGCTGGAGGTCAGCCATCAGGCCAGGAATTAAGCTCAGGACCTTTGACATGACATCAACTGCTTACTGTGCCAGGTGTTCCAGGGACCCTCTGACTAGAGTGATGTATCACTTACTGTTCAACCAGGTCACCTTTGAGAGTGAAAACAAGTGCCATTAATAATTACCCTGAGACAACAGGTGTCCCAGGCAAATTGGGAAGCATGGTCTTCCTGCCCAAGTAGAGGCTCCAGACAAGTCACTTCTCTACAAAATGGAAGTGAAGACAGTATTGTCCCCATGGGACTCTCATAAAGGTTCAATGTGATAATGTATATAAGGGGCTAAAAGGCCTGGTATGCCCGGGCACAGTGGCACTCGCCTGTAATCCTAGCAATTTGGGAGGATTGCTAGGCAGGAGGATCGCATGTTCAGGGCCAGTCTCAGCAATTTAGCGAGACCCTGTCTCAAAATATAAAATAAAAAGGGCTGGGGATGTGGCTCAGCCTAGGTTCAATTCTGGGTACCAAAAATATAATAATAATAAAATAAAAGGCCTGGTATGCATTTGGTGCTCAATAAAAGCTGGTCATAACTAATACTATGACAATAGCCATGGTAGTACTGGTCCCTGTCTCCAGCACTGTCCTCCGGTCCCTCTCTGCTCTCACCCAGAGCTTCCAGCCGTACCTCCCTGAGCTGCCTGGCTCGACGTCCTGCTCCTGAGCCCTGACGACTCGTGGCCCACAGGTGACACGGAGCCCTGGCCAGTTCTCTCCTAGGCCTTGACGGTGCCACCACCGCCCTGATCCCTGTCTCTCAGGGGCAGCCGCCTTCCTCCTCACTGCCAATCCTCAGCGCCTCTGAGACTTGGTGCTCTCAGTCCTCCAGGGGACAACACGCTCCTGGGCCTGCCCCAAAGAAAGATGTCCTGGGCCTTGGTCCTGCTGCAACGCCAGGTGCCTCGTCTCTCCATCCGTCTAGCTGCAGAGATAACCCCGACCTTGATGGCCAGAAAGAGGGCTCAGAGCCAGGGGAGGGGGCGCAACCCGCTGGGGACAGTAAAGACCTTGTCTCCCCCACCTGTGAGTCATGGAAGCTCCCATCCCAGCCCCTCCTGCCTGCCCCACGGGCCCAGGGCGCCAGGCCTTTGCTTGTGGTGACTCCAGCTGTGCACGGCCATAGCCCTTCCTCTGCCTTCGGCTCCTTCAAGACTTAACTTCTCCCCTGGGAACCTCGCTGAGCCCCCACCTGCTGCAGGCCGTTGGGGACCTCTCTGATCCAGGACTCCCTGCCTACCCTTAGGGAGCTCACAGACAGAGGGGGAAGGTAGGGGGCACACCGTGAGGCAGGGGTCAGAGATCTACCTCCCCTTCCTGGGGTGAGAGCACTGGGTCCCGGGCACAGCTGCTTCCCCGTGGGGGAGACTCAGTACTTTTCTGAGTCGTGACCTCATTTACCTGTTCAGTAAACTTCCTAGGCGCGCAGAGCAGGGAACATAAAAACACCTGCCACCGACTTTGGCTTTGAAGATCCCAGTTTACAGAGGTGGAAACTGGAAGGGTAGGGAGTTGGCCAGGTAGAAAGGGACCCAAGCTGTCTGGCACCAGGTCCCCTGCTTGACCACCACACTACACCTCTACAAGGGGCCTGCCAGGGGCTCGTGCCGGGTGTGGACATGCCTGTCTTGCTGGCACCTGCATGGCCTGTATGGGGTGGAAGGGTGCCGCACGTTGGGACAAAGAGAGTGGACATCCCCAGTCAAGGTCTAAGGAGGTCTCATTGGCACTCGGATTCTAGCTTCCATCTCCCCAAAGTAAGGCAGGGAGTGGCTGGAGAGTCCAGAGCCCAGCCGGATGCCCCAGGCCTCCCCGGGAGCTTGTGGGGAAGGGTGGGCAGAGGAGAGCCCAGTGGCTTGCCCTGGGCAGCGCCCCTCCCTCCGGGCAAACTACGCATTCCCACCCTCGCCCTGCCCTGCCCCGGGGCGGCGGGCCGGGGCCTGGCCGGGCTCTGGCGGCCGCGGCAGCTTGGACAGTGCCCGGGAGGGGGCGCGGCGCGGCGGGGCGGGCGCAGCGGGCGGGCGGAGGCGCCCACACCCCGCCCCCGCCCCCGGATCCAGCCGCGGAGCCCGCGGCCAGGGCGGCGCAGACCGGCCCAGCGACTCTCCCAGCTGCGCGCCGGGACGCGCTGCTGCGGTCGCCGAGCCGCCCTGGGACCCTCGCCCCGGGGCTCGCCGAGAGGAGGTAGGAGCCGCTGGCCCGCGGGGCCTCGAAGACCCGCCTGGGTCCGCGACGGCCTGGGGACCCTGCACCCTTCTGGGCGCTCGGGGAGGGCGGGGACCGAGCCCGGCCGCGGAAGGCGCGTCCCGTGCCAATGGCAATGCCAAGGCCCTGGTGCTGCGGCGGTGCGGCCGGGACGCTTCGAGTTTTCGGGTGCTTTTGCCCTGTTCCCGGCGGGCGAAGGGGGACAGCGAATGGGAGCGGCGAGAGGCAAAAGGCGCTGCCAGGAGAGGGGCGCGCGGAGGGCCATCTGCGCGCCTCCCGCGCCGGGAGAGGAAAGGGGCGAAACGTGGGGCGTCGGGCCCCTGGGCGCAGGCCAGCGCCGAGAGCGGGAAGTTGTGGGGTCCGGGCAGACGGACGGGCACCCTGCCCCCTCCCCAGCCGCCGCATTCCAAGCTGGAGCAGCGGATGAGGTCATCCCGTCCGGTTCCCCTCCGGCCAAGGCGACCCTGCTCTTCTCCCCTCCCTGTCCCGCAGGGGAAGGTTTTATAGTAAGTCCTTCCCGGATTTCCCATTCCGCCTGCCTCCTGATTGTTTTTGCCCTACTCCAGCCATTCCAGTCCCGCGAAGTTTGAAGCCCATTTTCTAGACTAGGAAACTGAGGCTCAGAGAGGCGCCGAAGCTGGCGGGAAATCACCATCCCGCCGCGGTTTCACTCGCGGCCGGGGCTGATTGGGCTCTATCTTGGGATGGTGGGACCAGAAAAGCGTTTCTCCCTCCCCCTTGGTGGTTCCTCCCTAACGGCCCAGGGTGTTCCCTTCTACCCGGCTTGGAGTGGTCCCCCACAGCTGACCACCGGCAGCTGGCTGTCCCTTTCTAGTCTCCGTCTCCCTATCTTCCACCTCTAAGCTCCTGAACTTTGGGGGGCAGGAGATGCCAGCCCCTCACCCTCCTCAGGCACCAGAGCCTGTTTCCGGGAGCCCCCATTCAAGCCCGGGACACGCAGGCCAGTCTGGCAGTGTTACCCAGTGCGAGGACGCCCTTGGAGAGAGGGCTCCTGCAGGGAACAGTGGCCTTCAGGATGAGACGTGGCGCTGCCTCAGGGAGTGGGGGTAGGGACAGGGTGCAGCCTGTTGGTGACCCCCAGAGTGCTGCTGCCCCCGCCCATTGCCCTCCACTGTCAGACAGTCCCTGGCCTCCTCTGGACCTCTTGTGGCCTGTCCTAGTGTGTGGTCCCTGTCCCCCAGCCCCAAAACTTGTCCTGGTGCTCCTTACTATGTAGTGACCCCTGACCACCTGCCCAGGTCCCCAGTGAAGTCTGCAGGGTGAATATGAGGCCTCTGGGTACACTGAGGCTGCATGGTGACCACTCTCCCCAGGTCACAGGCACTGAATCTGCGGAGCTGAGTCTCCTACCCCCTCACACTTGCCCTCTCTGTGCTGGGCAGCCTGGCAAACCACCGCTCCCCAGCAGTCTTCACCCCAACCTTGGCCATTTCCTGTGGTCAGGAGGCTCCTAGCTAGGCCCAAACACACTATTTTTTTGCTCTGTGACCTGAGGTAAGTCATTCTCCCTTCTGAGCCTCATTTTTTCATCTGCATAATGGGTATGTGGTATTCCTGCGTGGCCGATAGGAGGGACTTCCACCAGGATACCCAGTGTCCTGCTTACTCCAGTACCTGGTGAGGCACACCTGAGGGCCAGCAACGCCTGTGATCAGCATCAAATGCCAAGTGACTGCCACCAAGTGTCCCTAGGATGAAAGATGTTAGCCTAAAGGTGTGAGATTTGAACCCAGGGCCACTCTGCTTCTGGCGTGGCCTTTCCACATCTCCCCCCTCCTTTGGGAGGACCCTGCTGGGGATGCTGTTTCCATTTTCCACCTGGGAAGGTCAGTGCCCTGCGCAGCGCCCTGCCTACCCTCAGAGCAGGGCAGGTCTCTCCGCAGCAGGCAGGTTACATGTAGGAGCACTATTTGGAGATGTTCCAAGGCATTCAGGAAGTGGGACCCTGGCAAGATTGGGAAGGAAGCTGGTCTCCCAGTCAGAATGACCATGGGGTTGAGTGGGGGCAGGAGCCCCTTTTGCTGGGAGAACAGGGGCTGCCCCAGAAGCTGGGAGTCGGGATGGGAGTGAGGTGGGTGTGGCCACAGGGCTGACACTTGCGACTCCGCCACATGACATTTCCCAGGGTGGCCTCTCCCCCACCAGCTAGTTCCTTCCCCCCAAAGACTTCATCCTTAATCTCTGGAGCAGCGAACCTGGCCCCTGCCTCGTACCTGCCACGTGACTTTGGACGGGTCTTTCCCCTTGGGACCCGCCCTCCCTGTAGCGCAGGCCACCCCCCCCACCCCCGCGCAGGCCACCCCCCCCCAGGCTGGCGGGCGGGGCTGGCGGACAGCCGGATGACGTCATGGGCTGGTTGGCCAACTGCAGGGCGCTTCACAACTTCAGCAAACATTCCGCGAGGACTTCTCGGTGCCGGGGGTGCCAGGGCCAGGGATGATTCAGAAGTCCCCCCCAGGGGGAGGAGCCAGGGCTGGGGGAGGGTCAGATGGTGGGAAGGGAATAGAATGTAGTCAGAAAACAAAGCGAGCTTTGTCCTGTGTCCTCTTTGTCTTTTATCTTGTTATTTAACCTATTTTGAATTTCAAATAACATTAGAAGGGCGGTGTTAGGTTTTCACGCTCAGAGGTGGCACAAAGTGGTAGGGGGTGGGCACTTGGGCCTCTGTCTAGGTGTTCTCGCCAAAGATGGTTATCAGCTTTATCTGCTAGGTCCTAAGTTTGTGGAGGTAAGTGACTTGCCCAAGGTCACACTGTGAGGACATTGAGTCCTAGCCTCCCTCTGGGGGGGGGTTGGCCCTTGAGCTTGGAGGTTATCGCTGGGATCTGTGATCAAACTGGTCTTGATTTGGCCCTTGCCACGTGCAGAGCCCGGGCTGGGAGGGAGGAAGAGAGGGAGGCAGGAAAATCCAGGCAGGTGCCCGCCCTCCCCGGAAGTGGGTCTGTGGAAACCAGACTGGCGGGCCCCCTCGGGCCAGCCCAGGGCTTAGGTGAGTCAGAGCCCTGGGTTCAAGTCCCGACTGGCTCTCTGGATGCGACCTGGAGCGGGCTTGGCCTCCGCTGGGCCACGGGAAAGACAGATGTCAGACCAGGATCCTGGCGTCTTCCAGCGGGACTTTCTGTGACCCTCTGGGGAAGGGGCCTCTTCAAAGGGTGCTTAGAGAAGGGGAGCTGGGGAGGATGTCGTGGGGGGGGACCCAGGAAGGGGGGAAGGAATAGCTTTGGGCACCTGCTGAGGGGCACCAAAATTTGTTCCCTGACTCCGAGGCTCCTACATCCGTTTGACGGACTGTCCCATCAAGCCCTTTGCTGGGTCCTGCTCAGAGCCTTCAGGAGGCAGCTGGGAAAAGCCACTCTGACCACAAACCCCTTTTGCAGGAAGCACGGTGAAGGCACAAGTCCTGAGGGACCTCTGGGCGGCTTTTTAGCGCTCCCGAAGCCTGCGAGGGGCCAGGGCCTCCTCCTCCTGACTTCTGGGGGTGGAAGAGATTTTAGCCCCGGAGGAGGTGTCTTGCTCCAGGGCTGGGACATGGGCCCCGCGCACCATTCCCTGCAGTGTAGACGGCTCATGGCCCCTGCCTCAGTTTCCCCCTTTGAATGCCGTGCCTTGCTGGGCACTGTGGTGTGGGTTTAGTGACTGCGGCAGGGCAGGCGCTGGCACCTCCGGCCCTGGGCAGCGGCCACTGTGCCAGCGCACCGGGCAGCCTGTAGCTTGGTGGGATTGGGCCCTGAGCGCCAGCACCCGCGTCAGCGCAGCATTTCAGACTCCTCTGCGTGGACCCCCACGGCGTGTCCCTCCTTTGAGCTCAGCCTTGGGTCAGTGACCTCCATCCGTGTTGTGGGGAGTTGTCGTTTGTTTTCTGGGCCGTTGTTTGGACCCAGGATTTCCTCCTCTGCACCAGGCCTCCCGTCACATTGTCACATCGCATTACTGTCCTCTGTCCTCCTTCCAGGTCTCCACCCCTGAGCAGGAGAGGGACCGCCCACCTTTGAGGCCAGGTCTGTGCCTTCTTTGCTCCTGGACCAAACGGGACTGTCTGCAGCTGCTCCCCCAGGGCTTGGGAGAGTGTGGACTCCCAGGGCCAAGGGCCACCCCCTGCCATCGAGAGGGGGGCTGAGAAGGGGGCCCTGAGCCTAGCCCACCAGCCTCCCCAGCCCCCGGTGGGCATGGACCAGCAGCCCTGAGCTGCCAGAGCCCATGCCTGGCCCCCAGGGGGGCGGAGGAGCCCCCACCATGAGCCTGGGCAAGCTCTCGCCCGTGGGCTGGGTGTCCAGCTCCCAGGGAAAGAGGCGGCTCACTGCAGACATGATCAGCCCCCCGCTCGGGGACTTCCGCCACACCATGCATGTGGGCCGAGGCGGGGACGTCTTCGGTGACACCTCCTTCCTCAGCAACCATGGTGGCAGCTCTGGGGGCACCCACCGCTCACCGCGCAGCTTCCTAGCCAGAAAGCTCCAGCAGGTGCGGAGGGTTGGGGTGCCACCCCGAAGGATGGCATCCCCTCCAGCGCCCTCGCCGGCTCCCCCTGCCATCTCCCCCATCATCAAGAACGCCATCTCCCTGCCCCAGCTCAACCAGGCCACCTACGACAGCCTGGTGGTGGGCAAGCTCAGCTTCGATGGCAGCCCCACGGGCCCCGCAGATGGCCGCTCCAGTTACGGTGAGATCCTGGGTAAACTGCCCCTTCTCTCTCTCTCTCTCTCTTTGGCACCAGGGATTGAACCCAGGGGAGCTTAACCACAGAGCTGCATCTCTAGCCCTTTTAATTTTTTAAATTTTGAGACAGGGTCTCACTGAGTTGCTTAGTGCCTCACTATGTTGCTGAGGCTGGCCTTGAACTTGAGATCCTCCTTCCTCAGCCTCCCAAGTCACTGGGTGCACCACCATTCTTGGCTCTATCTGCCCTTTTCTAATGCAGAGGCCCAGAAGGTTGTTGGCTCTAACCAAGACTTCCAAGTGAGCCCTTTTCCCAGGGTGGGGAGGACTAAGGTGGTGGGAACCGACTTGCCACACACACCCCCCCCACACACACACACACACACTGGTCCAGAGGGAGAAGCACTTTCAGTTCCAACTGCCCCTTGCTTGCTGTGTGACTCTGACAAGCCCTTCTCCCTCTCTGGGCCCTAGTTGGGCCTATCTACCCTTTCTTTCCCCTTTCAACTAAAGCAGCCCCCTACTGTCAAAATGGTGTCGTGGAGAGGCTGAGAACCTGTTTCTGCCTGACTCCTAGGAAGTCCACTGACCTAAGTTCAAGTCCTTGCCCATCTAATGAGTCCCTTGGCAGCATGGCTGGGATTCAGTGAAATCATCCATGTGCCAGGTGAAATGAGAGCTGGCACATAGTAGATGCTCAGGACACTTGAGCCATTAATGTTACTTAAACCAAAATTCCTGTAACTTGATGAATTTGCAAAACTGCTCTCACGGAAGTGCCACGCTGCAAGACCCGCTCACCTGGGAAGCGTGGGCCCCTGCTGCCACCTGGTGGCCATGCCTTGCCCGTGGCTTTGCCTGTTGGTGGGGGTGCTGCTCCGAACCCCACCAAGGACTGGTCCACACGAACCCTCATGCTCAAGTGCTGGAGGCAGGGGCTCCACCAGATGACCTTTGAAGGGCATGTGCCGGTCCTTAAAGCCTGTGAGGTCCATGCAGTCACCCGCGGGCTGCTGGTTCCATCCTGTGTCCACAAACCAGCCTCCTGGTGTGGGTTCACCTGCTGCCGTTTGCCAGTGTCATAGCAGGGTACCTGGGGACCGCGGCTAAGTTCACATTGGGCCCAAGAGTCAGGAGATCGGAGCGCCACCCTTCTGCTGTGGCCTTGGGCAAAACCTTTCTTTCCCCAAACAGCCTGCTTTCTTCCGCGTACTGGGAACAGGGAGCAAGACCATCTTCAGTTCCCAGGATGGCAGGAGACCAAGGGCTCCCCCATATCGGGAAGAGGGGTGAAACAGGACAGAGTGGGGAGTGACTTACTAGAGGCCACACAGCCAGCCAGGGCTCATCCTCCTGGCCCTCCCTCCCCGCGTCCTGCTCCCAGCTCTGACCTGCTTCCATTTCTCCTCTAGGCCTGGACTCCGGATTCTGCACCATCTCCCGTCTGCCCCGCCTGGAAAAGCCCAGCAACCCAGACCCAGACCGAGACAGCTCCTTCCCCACTGAGCCTGAGCTTCGCCGCTCTGACTCCCTCTTGTCCTTCCGCCTTGACCTTGACCTTGGGCCCTCTCTCCTCAGTGAGCTTCTAGGGGTCATGAGCCTCTCCGATTCCCCTGCAGCTGAGACCCCAGGCGCTGCCACAAAGCCCCCAGAACCTGCCACAAAGCCCCCAGAACCTGCCACAAACCCCCCAGAACCTGCCACAAAGCCCCCAGCACCTAACCCCACTGTAAGTCCTCTGTCTCATGGACATTTCCCCAATGGGGTGACTGCTAAGCTGGGCCCAGTGGCTGAAGTGAGGGCCAACCCACTGGGAGAGGGTCCCCGGGGACCTGCCGACATGGCCCTGGGCAGGCGTTGGGGAGCAGGATGGGGGGGCAGCCGCCACTACACCGAAATGGATGCCCGCCGGGAGCTGGTGGAGGTGCTGCCCCAGGCCCGGGGCTCCTGGGAGAGCCTAGAGGAGTGGAGGGCCCCCACGGCGGGCATCAGGGCCCCCGTGCCCAGCACAGTACAGGCCCACACCTTTGCGTTTGCAGATGCTGAGGAGGATGACGAGGTCAAGGTGTGAGTGCAGGTCGAGGGCTTGGGGACCTCATGGAGAGCCGGGGGCAGACCAGCCCCTGGCCTACCAGAGTTGGCTCCTGCCAGACAAGATGGGGGAACCCACGTCCCCCTAAACCCCTGCAGGTCTCTGCAGGGCAGACATGGGAGAGAGGACAGGAGACCCACTCTGTCGTGGGACCTGGGTCCCCAGCGGCCATGCTGAGCTAATAGGCCTCCCTTAGGCCCCACCCCAGCCACGCCCACCAGCTGGGGCCCCCCTCAAGACGTGTGGCCTTGTGCCAGATGAATGCCATGGGGACTGGGGGGGGTCCCACACGGGGCCATGTCTCCTCTCCCAGTGGCACATCTGTCCCCAGAGGGTCCCTGCTGTATTTCCCCAAAAGCCCCATCCCAGGCCACCCCCCCAGCCCTCCCACTTGTCTCAGAGAAAGGTCCTTTGCAACCCCTTGGGAAGCACCCCGCCTTCCTGTGGACCCCAGACCTGCCTTTGGGGCCTGATTAAAAAGGCTTTTTGATAAAAGGTGTCCTGCAAAAAGCTTGGGGACCAGCATTAGGTCCCCTGCAGAGACACCCTCCCCTCCTGGGAATTTGGAAAGCCAAGGTCACCCCTGGGGAGGGCTGTGGGGTGGTGAGTCACGGGCAGGAATGCCCTGAGATAAGGGCCCAGGTGGGAGCCTTATCTGCAGTTTCTGGAACAGCCCCTGCCCCAGGTGCCTGGAACCAGGTCTGTCCCACAGGGCAGCGTGGCATTTGCTCTGGCGATAAGCAGGGAGGGAGGCAGCGTCCAGTGCTAGCGTCTGAGAGCAGTCCCAGGTCCCCTGCCACCCCCACCTGGGAGACGCAGGAGTATTAAAACACGGGAGTGCCCCCCACAGGCTCCAGGAGGTGGGTTTTTGGTGTTTATTTGTTTGCTCTTGGCTTCGAGGGAGGAAAATGCGATATCCGAGGAGCAGGAACGGGAAACACCTGGGTCAAGGGTTGGGGGTGGATCCAGGACCCAAGGCTGTGAAGGGCGAGGGTCGGGGACCAGGGTTGAGAGCTAAATTCTTCGGGTAACTGCTGCCGCTCAGTTGAGCTTGAGAGAGGACACCTGGAGCCCCCCCTTCACACACAGGTAGCTCAGGTGGCTGTAGCCCAGCCGGTTGGGAAAGGTCAACTCGTACCCATCTGGGAGCTCCACCTTGAACTCATCACTGTGAAAGGCCAGGGTCACCTGCAGGGGAGGGAAGGTGTCAGGGAGCAGGAGGCTCCCTGGAAATGGGCCAGGGCTCCCCTCCTCCTGCTGTCCCTTGGCCTCACCTTGGTCTGTGACCCGGGGCTGAAGCACAAGTGACTGTCCCGATGCTCTTTCCCCCAGTTGCCGTCCCGGGTGTTGCAGACGATGGTGGATTCCTTGAAGCGTGGGTTAAAATGCAGGCCCAGCTTATCTGTCCCGTGGCCCAGGTTAATCACAAAGCTGCAGGGGAGGGTGACAGGTGGCATCTAGGGGCAGCCCCGGGTAAGGTAGCTTGGGTCAGGTCAGCTACCACAAGCTGCTTCCGGCTTGGCAGTGAGATCTGGGCGCTAGAATGAGGGAGTCAGCCTCGGTGCTATGTGACATGTTCCATTCGGAGCAGAGACCAAGGCTGCTGGGGCAGTAGCTGATGGTGACGGTTGAGAAATCAGGGGTGTCTGTCATGGGGAGAGAGCTGCTGTCCTTAGATCTCTGAAGACATTAAGGTTGACCACAAAGATCAGTCGACCTACAGGGATGAGCTCTCTGTCACTAAAGGTATGCCACCAGGGGTTGATCTTGGCAGGATCACTACGGGAGCCTGGGTTAGACCTTTGGGGAGCCCGAGAATGGGCATCCTGGGTGGTGGGCTTCTTCATCGGGGAGGCATGTCTCAGGCCTGTGTTTCTGCAAACTTGAGTGATGAGGCAGGAGAAAGGACTCCTTTATCTCTAGGCTCCTACTTCACACATCTGCCCACCACCTTCCCAGCCCAAGGGGGCAAAGTTCAGTCCAAGAAATGCCCAAGTTAGCCAGGCACACGCTTGTAATCCCGGCAACTCAGGAGGCTGAGGTAGGACAATCGCAAGTTGGAGGCCAGCCTCAGCCACTTTGCGAGGCCCTAAGCAACTTGATGAAACAATCTCAAAATGAAAAGGGCTGGGGTTCAACGCCTGGTATCAGAAAAAAAAGAAAGAAATGCCAGTGTCATCCTGCAGGCTTGAGAGCCTGGAGCAGGTGGTGGGGGAGGTGGGCCGGTGGCACCCCCTGGTGGCCGTCTCCAGGGGCTCGGGAAAGGCCGGTTGGGGTCCTTCGGGCTGGGTTAACAGAGCCGCGACCCTGGGGGTTGGCCCTCCACACAGGCACGGAGGCCAGGGGGCTGGGGGAGCCCTAGGGCTTCTCCCCCTGCCCCTTCAGTGGCTGCTGGGGCCAGGGAACAGCACGTGGATGCTCGGGTGTGAAGGCAGGTCCTGACCCAGGAGTGTGGGAGGGAGCAAGGGTGTCCAAAAGACCCCTAGGCTTGAAGTCACCCTGCGCTGACCATGCCCGGGGCTGTCCGGCCTGCCACCCCCCCACACCCCTTCTCTGCCTGTTCCCGCTCCCCCCACCTCGCTCACCCATCAGCTTCATCCGCGATCCTGCCCTTGATCTTCAAGGTTGTCCCCGGTTTCAAGTCCAGTTTTGTCATCTCCAGTTCTCCCTGGGCCCGGGGAGAAGCACTCCATGAGGAACTCGGAGACCCTCCACAGCCCCCTCTGCTGGTGACGCCACCAACTTCCCCTCCAGTGGACCCGTTATCCCCCTGCCCACGAAGAGAGCCCGGGGCTGCAAGGGGAGATGGTGGGATCCAGGCTTCCCAGAGGCCCCGCGGCCCTCTCTCCTTTGCCCTCCACCCAGCCCGACTAGGGAGCCGCTGAGGCCCAGCAGGGAAGCCTCGGTTAGCCCGCGGGAACCCGGGGACACGGAGATGATGCAGAGCAGGACTGTGTCAGCGGCCAGCCGGCCTTACCCCACCCCCATTGGGAACCTACAAAACCTTCCAAGTCCTCTGTCTGAGTGGGTCCATCAAAGGCCGCTCCAGACCTTCTTCCCCCATCTGTGGAGCAGGCTGCGGGGGGCATTTTTATTAAAGAGCCCTTGCAGGCGGAGCTCACCTAGCAAGCCCGAGGCCCTGGGTTTGATCCCAGCAGAAGAAAAGAAGAAAGTTGCTAAGTGCCCTGTGACGGATGCTGCCAGGCCTGGCGGGTAACGGCGGCCACCTTCAAGCTGGTAGCCGAGGTTCGGCTTCCTGTTTGCGAAACCCCAAGCATAGAGCCTGGCCCACGTGCAGGCAGATTCAGGGGCCACTGTCATGGTCACTCACTCCTTATTTGGCATCTCCTTTTCCACGGGGCCCTGGGACATCTACACTCTGATGGCTTCGTCCATCTCCTGATGGTTAATGGGAGGTCCTCAAACCCAGGCTTCCAAAGCTCAATACCCAAGACTCAGAAAATGTCCATCTACATGTCCCTGATGGGAGCCGCAGGGAGGGGCTGGACAGGCACCAAAGACGTAGCACCCAGGGCAGAGCTTGAGGGGAGCTCGCCCCACAGAGGAGGAGCAGGGGAGACGCGCACCCCAGCCTACCCCCAGAGGGAGGCTGAGCCCAGGAGCATGGAGCCATCCTGGTGGGCGCTGGGACAGCTGGACCCGCTGGGTGGGACTCTTGGGTTGTGACTGTATGGCGCTGGGAAGCCTCCCTGACCGCCAGATGCCAGGAGCCGCCTTCCCCCAGCTGTGACAATCAGAAATGGCTCCAGACAATGCCCAGTGTCCCCTGGGGGCAACATTTCCCTGCTCTAGGAACAGTGGGGTTTGGAGGTGGAGGCTTAAGCCCTCAGATTCAGGCTTAATAACAGCTTTTTGTTTTTTCAAAAAAAAAAAAAAATTTGTACCAGGGATCGAACCCAAGCCCTTTTTTATTTTTTATGTTGCGACAAGATCTCCCAAAGTTGGGGAGATCTTGTCTCAACATAGGGCCTTGCTAAGTGGCTGAGGCTGGCCCGGAACTTGTGATCCTCCTGCCTCAGCCTCCCGAGGTGCTGGGATTACAGGCTGGGCCACCAAGCAGAACCTTGGTTAATGCAGCAGCCACATCCAGGCTTTGGGGCCACGGACTGGATGCAGGTTCTCTCTCGGCCTCTCACTGACAGACAGAGGTGGTCGTCCCTGGGAGAGAAGGTAAGTGAGGAGAGCACCGTCCCTCCCAGATGAGAGAGGAACCCAAGTGCGCGGCCACAGAGTCACTCAGACGTTGGCTGTGCAGACACACCTGACACCAGCTGCCAGGAGCCAGCCACGAAGGCAAAAGCCTCTCCCAGAGACACAGGCAAGGACAGCACAGCACTGGTCTTCAGCCAGGGACCCTGGTCAGGTTCATGTCCTGCATGGCACTGGTGCTGGCTTGGACAGTGTCCTGCCACAACTCATATCCACCTGGAACCTGCAAAGGCCACCTGTTTGGAGTAGGGTCTTTGTGGCTGTAATCAAGATGGGGTTGAACCAGGCGCAGTGGAGAAAGCCTATCATCTCAGCAACTCCAGAGGCTGAGGCAGGAGGATCGTAAACTTGAGGCCAGCCTCAGAAATTTAGCAAGGCCCTAAGAAAGTTAGCGAGACCCTATGTCTAAATAAAAAATAAAAAGTTGGGGGCTGGGGCTGTAACTCAGTGGCAGAGCATTTGCCTCGCACATGTGAGGCACTGGGTTCTATCCTCAGCACCACATAAAAAAATAAACAAATAAAATAAAAGCATACTATAGTATCAGTCAATCAATCAATAACAAACAGGCATGGCGGCACACCTGTGATTCCAACAGCTCAGGAGACTGAGGCAAAAGGATCGCAGGTTCAAAGCCAGCCTCAGCAACTTAGTGAGGCCCTAAGCAGTTCAGCAAGACCCTGTCTCTAAATAAAATATTTTTTTAAAGGGCAGGGGGTGTGGTCCCCAGTACCAAACACCAAAAAAAAAAAAAAAAGATGAGGTCGTACTGGAGTAGGGTGGCCACTAAACCCAGTGTCACTGATGTCCTTGTCAGAGGAGGGATATCTGGACACAGAGGGACACTGTGTGAGGTAGGGCATCACTCAGTAATGCAGCTGCAGGCCAAGGATCGCCAGCCGCCACCAGAAATTGAAAGAGACGATGGGACGCTCGCCCAGAGCCCGCGGAGAGCGCGCCGGGCCCACACCTGATATCAGACGTCTGTAGAGCTTGAGAGAATGAATATTCTGAAGCACCCCCCCCCCCTTCCTTTTTGTGGTACTTGGTCCCAGCGGCCCCAGGAAACGAATATGCCATCTAATCCCCAGAGGGTGCCATCGGATTCCATCCCACAGATCAGGGAGACTGAGGCTCAGAGAGGGTCAGAAACGGGTCCAAGGCCAATCAGGAGCCTGCAAGAAGAGCCACCCAATCCCCCACAACTCGCAGGTTGTGACCTTGGCCAATTAGATCCCAGAGCCTCGGTTTTCTGTCTTCTTGTGTGTCTGGGTGCTGGTGATGGGGTCCACTGAGCCCCCCACACCCCACGGTGAGTTACAGCCTCAGCCCCGAACCTCAGCTTGTTCATCTTTCTAAAGCTCAATGGATGGTAGCGGTCGTCATCATCATCATCATCATCATCATCACTGATGAGGTAGCTGAGGCAAGAGAGGGGACACACAGGCCCAGGCTCCCAGGTAGGGCGGTGGCCGAGGGATCCGGGTGCCTGGGCGGGGGCTGGGGAGACCGTCTGGCCAACTTCCTTGCCAGGTGGAGGGGAAACCGCAGCGACACTGAACTCCAGAGCACCCTCCCCAGCCCACCCAGGCAAAGACGCGGAGGGAGTGGGCCGCAGGGGGCCGGCATCCTCACCGACATGGTGGCCTTTCTTGGTGACAGCTCCCAGCAGTTCCCAGCCGCTGAGCTCAGGTTCCCACCCCGTGGTCGACCTTTATATCCCAGAATATCACACATTAACTGCCCCAAGGCCATAAATGAGGACTTTGGCCCCATGTACCCAAGTAGCCCCCTGCCTGTCCCTCCAGGCACCCAAAGCAGAGCCACGAAGGCTCCCCGCCCCAGCCACCTCCCTCCAGCTCAGCCGCCCCTCTTGGGTGCTCCCAGGGCCCTTTGGGAAGCGGCCCCAGCTCTGGCCCCGCACAAACCACAAACACCCCGGGCTTGGCGGGCCACCAGCCTCCCCGACTGAGCCGGCTTCCTGGGCCACAGAGAGAGCGACTTGCCTATAAAAACGGCCCGAGCTGCTCATTTTCTCTGATGTCATGATTCACTCGGAGCATCTTTTTTGTTCTCTTCTCCCCTGATTATTTTTCTGTTTGTGTATGGGAAGTTTTGAAAGCAATACGTGGTAAATCCAAAGAAAACGTTCCAAAGTATCGACCACTCTTAACAGTGGAGAAGGAGGCCAGGCGGGGTGGTGCCTACCCCTAATCCTAGCGGCTCAGGAGGCTGAGGCAGGAGGATTGCAAGTTTGAGGCCAGCCTCAGCAACTTAGGCCCTAAGCAACTTAGCGAGGCCCTGTCTCAGAACAGAATATAAAAAGAGCTGGGGTGTCTGTAGGTCAGTGACCACGCGCCCCTGGTTCAACACCTGGTACCAAAAAAAGAAGAAATAAAAGCCAAGAAGAAAGCAGGAGGCTTGGGAGGTGCGGCAGGTTGGAACGCTCTGCCCTTTGTTTCTATTTCTTAGTAACCGACGTGCTTAATGTAGACAGAGACGTTAAATAAGAAGAAAAACAGCCCGGACTCTCACACCACCAGGAGGAAGCGGGCCCTGCTCACTGCCTCGACCCATTTCCTTGCCAGTGGTTTGCCGTGTGTTTTATTGTGGGCATCCCCCGCCTGCGCGACTGTCCCTCCACTTCACTCAGGAAACGTTAAAACCCACAATCTGTATTCCAGAACTATATTTCAATGACTGGGAAATATTCTGACTTTCAATGGCTCCATTTACTGAATCAATTCCCTTCTGTGGGGCATCTACATTAATTCTAAATTCTCACTATTTAAAATACTGCCACAGCCGGGCGGAGGCGCACACCTGTCATCCCAGCAGCTCGGGAGGCTGAGGGAGGAGGATGGAGAGTTCAAAGCCAGCCTCAGCAAAAGTGAGGCCCTAAGCAGCTCAGCGAGACCCTGTCTCTAAATAAAATACAAAATAGGGTTGGGGACGTGGCTCCATGGTCCAGTGCCCCTGAGTTCAATCCCCAATACTAAAAAGAAATTGAATTAAGTTTTTTAAAATATGCTACATGACGTCAGCACACAGGGTTGGTCTGCACCCTGACACATGGAGGGAGAGCGTTTCTCGAGCTCTGGATTTGGTGGCCCGACGTGTTCCTTGGGAGTGGCGGGAGCCACTCTGCCGGGTGCTGGGAGCCCGGCCCTGTGAAGGGGAGTCTGGTGCCAGGAGCGGTGGGTGGCTCTCTGCCCAGTGCTCACAGGGGACACCGCCTCATTCCCTGCCAGCCCAAGACGGGGGTGTTTCCTTCTCTCGCCCACAAGGAAGTTGATCCTTTCTGGGCCCTTCTCCTGGGGCCAGAGCCAAACAAGATAAGGAGTTTCAAAGTGCTCCCGGGCGGAACCGCCCTCAACAGAAACTGGCATTTTTCGGATTATAATAGTAATGCGAGCGCCGCACCAGGTTTGGGAAACTGTACAAAGTTGAAAAAAAAAATCTTAAAGTTCGCTTATTTGGAAAGAACGCCCCGGTGTGGGGGAGTGACTCGGGGCAGAGTTACGGCCTGTGTGCAAGGCCCTGGGCACCGTCCCCAGCCAGAAAAGAGGAAATCTTTAGTGCTTTTCTGGGTATATATTTCACATCAATGAAAAATTTTTTTTTTCAAAGGAAAAACTATAAGAGGAAGAGCATCAAAATCCCTGGCCCCCGCCCCTCCCATCCAGTCCTCTTAATTGGTAACTTCTTTTTTATTTGTACTGGGGATTGAACTCAGGGGCACTCGACCACTGAGCCACATCCCCAGCCCTATTTTGTAGTCTCATTGAGTTGCTTAGGGCCTCACTTTTGCTGAGGCTGGCCTTGAACCTTGGATCCTCCAGCCTCAGCCTCTGGAGCCGCTGGGATTAGGGGCGATCACCTCCGTGCCTGGCTCCCCCTTTTTAAAATATTTTATTTAGTGACAGGGGCTCGCTGAGTTGCTTAGGGCCTTGCTGAGTTGCTGAGGCTGGCTTTGAACTCCGGATCCTCCTGCCTCAGTCTCCCAGAGGCTGGGATCTTGGGCATGTGCCCCTGTGCCCGGCTTAAGTGGCAGCTTTGGAAGGCTGGTGTCCACCCAGCCAAGCACCTTGTCCAGCCCTTGTCCCAGGAGATTCACACGAGATTCTCAGGGGATCTTGGTTGTCTTCCCGCTTCCCAGTGGGAACTGAAATCGAAAACAGAAAAAGGGCAGGGTTGTGGCTCAGTGGTTAAGAGCCCCTGGGCTCAATCCTCAGTACCCTCCCGCCCCCCAAAAAAAGAGGTGATGGGGTATTGCTGTTATTGCAGGAGTAGGTGGCTGATTCCAGGATGAATCTGGGGCTGGCCATGTGGCTTGGCCAGCATGCCCAAGACCCTGGGTTCAACCCTCAGCAGCACCAAAAAATGCACGCCTGTCATCCCAGCAGCTAGGGAGGCCGAGGCAGGAGGATGGCAAATTCAAGGCCTGCTTCAGCAACTTAGTGAGGCCCTAAGAAACTTAGTGAGACCCTGTCTCAAAATAAAAATTAAAAAGGGCTGAGGATATGGCTCAGTTTTTTGTACCTTGGTACAAAAAAATATATAAATGCTGGGAAACACGGGTTCGGCCATCTGTCCCCGCATGGTGCCCACTTGCCCATCTGCTCGTCGTTGTCCCAGCCTGGGGTACCCTGACACAGCAACAGAAAATGGACTGAGGCAGGTGGCCTCTCTCTGCCCTGCTCTGGGCTGGTGGCCGTGAAGCCGTGAAGAGGCCCCTACGCCTGATGCTTCCAGCCAACCTCCAGTGGAGACCGGGGCTTGCCAGCGGCTGTATAGTGAACTTGGCATTGATCGTACACCACCGAGCCTTGAGGTGACCTTATGGCTGACACTCTGCTGTGGCCCTGAACCAGAGACACCCAACTAAAGGCCATCCAGCTTTCGGACCCACGGGAAATGTGAGAAATGTTGTTCTTATTTAGTGTCGAAGTTTGGGGGTCGGTTGTTCCACAGCAACGGTGACTAGTACTGTGCCAGGGGGTCCCTGCTGAAAGTCTGTCAGGAGGGACGACGGGAAGGCTCCTCACCAAAGAATCTCAGCTCTTATGTGTCCTGAAGTTCTGTGATATTCATCGTGTCAAAGAATCATCTCTTGGTTTTGCTTTCTTCGTTATTTTCTTCCTTTGTGTTGACTGACTTTTTCCTTTAACTTTTATTTTATGATTCCTGGTGTCTTGAGATTGAATGCTTAATGCATTAATTCTTCACCTTTCTTTTTACTAACAAATCCACTTCAGGGCTATCAGTTTTCCTAGGAATGCCACCGTGGCCACTTGTGATAGGCTTTGAGACGTTCTGCTCACTGCTCTAAATATCATCCTTGAATCAGTCCGATGGCCAAAAAGTTGTTCTTCGCGCTCAAAAAGTGCCGAACACACACGTATCAACGACTTACTGAATAACAAAAATAACATCGATCATCATCATCACCACTGGGAGGAGGATCGGCTAAGGAAAGGATGCTACGGAGAAACAGGAGTCTTTTTGCAGAATCACGATCTTCGAATGCCCCCTCTGGCCATGCTGCTTGGGTCGCTGTCACTGTACCGTGGGGACTAAAATGGCTACCGAAGCAGGTTCCTAGGACTCAGTGATGCTCTCTCCCTAAGCTGCCCTAGATGAGCAGGGACAGGGGCCGGCAGGGAGGACATCACCCAGCTGTCCTCAAGGGTCCCCCTACTGTAAACACAAGCACATGCATGACTTTAATCAGGATTGAGGGCATCCATAGAAGGAAAGTACAAAATCCAGCCCAGTCTTGAAGAGACCAAGCCTGGGGGCAGATAGCCGGGGCAGGGAAATAACTAGAAAACCACTGATCCCCCTTGGTGGAAGGCCTCAGGCTTCCCAGGACCCTGGGGCAAGAAAGGGTCCTCTAATGTCCTATGAGAAATCTTGTTTCTACCACTTCCTTGCTGTGTGACCTCAGGCCAAGTTAGTTAACCTCTCTGAGTTCAGTTTTCCTTTTCTGTAAAATGAAAGAACAGTGTTGAGAGGATAAAAGGAAATAATCATTAATACTTATCAGGTGTTATTTAAGATTATGATCGGGAGCACAGAGCCTCGTCTATGGAGGCTGTGGGGCAGCCTCTCACTGGCATCTGGAAGCTGTGTCCAAGCCCGAGGCCTGGGGGAAGGTTCTCCTTACAGTCCCCAGACCCCGTGTGACTCCCCAGCTCCTGGGTCCCCCCTGCCTTCCCGGTCCTCTACCTACACACATGTGCGTGATGCACACCCACGTCTGTATGCACACATATGATCCTACTTTATAGAACCATTGAATGAACTCATCAATATTATACATCAACATTTTTTCAACCCAAAATTTCATTTTTTTTCTTCTGATTTAATAAAAAATCAAACCCCTTTGGTATCAAGGACCTGAGGCAGCTTATTTGCTAAGATTGATGGAGAAGTGGGTCTTGTGGCTTCTGGGAACTCTCGCCCCCAGCCACCTGCTGTTGGGGGACTTTGGTCCTGGGTGCTATCTCCTTTCCTCTTTTCCTCCCAGAGAACAAACAGATCCACACCTCAGTGACACCTGTCACCCGGCCCCTCCCAGATGGCCTCCTTCAGAGCAGATAGAGGGAGCTTTGGGCATCAAGTGGGTCAATGACAAGTCCAGGCTCTGTCATCTATAAGCTGAGTGGCAGGTCACTTAGACCCTCAGTTTCTTCATCTGTGAACGAGAGTTGAAAGCATCTTTTTCCGATGCAGTTGGGAAGATTTTTTTCAATTAAAGAT